AAATGGAAATAGTTTAGCCTACTGTGCAGGACTGATGGGAATCCTAGACAGGGTAATGTATGTAAAGTTCTTAGCATACTGCCCACGAGATGGATGGGTTTCTGACCTGAAGCTCTCATTCTTCATACTCATTGTGGGTTGTGGAGAGTGTGTCCTCTGTTAAAGTAGCTTTGGCTTCCCCTCTCAGTGCATTCCCTTCCCCCTTCTGTACCAAGTGTAATGATGATTGTCCCGCCTCTGTTCTTGGACAGCGAGGCTTGAACCCTCCCTGCCTTGTCACAATGACTGGCTCAGTGTAGGACACCTGACACCATCAGGGAACCCCCCATGGGTGAAGCTGAGCCCATTAGATTCTCTCTTTATTATAAGTTTTTATTGAATTTATTGGGGTGGCATTGGTTCAAAGTGGAGGGGGAGAGATTAACCAAAGAACTTATATGCATATATGCATAACCCAAGGACACGGACAATGGTGTGGTGAGGGACTGGGGAGGAGGGTGGGGTGGAATGGGTTAATGGGGAGAAAAAGAGATATCTGTAATATTTTGAACAATAAAAAATATATTATGTTTCAAGCGTACAATTGTATAATACATCATCTGTATATTGTATTGTGTGTTCACCACCTAAAGTCAAGTCTCTTTCTGTCACCATTTCATAAATGTGAATGAAAGGCACCAAAGGAAGAATGATTTGGTGGTGAGCATGGGAGGTGAGAAATCTTAGGAGGCTGGGATATTGGGACAACAAGATGAACACATATTCAAGAGCAAGTGAACCAATAAGCTAGAGATGAGTGAATGACCCTGAATCACCAAAGCTGTTGGTTTTCTTGTTCCATGTTTATGGGTTATGTATATATGCTCTTTGGCTAATCCCTTCATCTTCTTTCATACAGTCCTACCTCCCCCCCCCTCTCCTCCCCTCTGACAGCTCAGTCCATTCTTTGTATCCATGCCTCTGTTTCTATTTTGTTCATCAGTTTATTTTGTTCCTTAGATTCCACATATAAGTGAGATCATATGGTATTTGTCTTTCTCTGACTGGCTTATTTCACTTAGCATGATGACCTCCAGGTCCATCCATGCTGTCTCAAATGATAAGATTTCCTTCTTTTTCAAAAGCTTTAAACGATATCTTACCCTTGAAAGATGCCTGATGTTTCAGATTTTGACCATAGCCTTCTGAAAATTTATAAATTCATGGACATCAGCTCTTTGGTCCTCCTGACAATACCTGGCTGGTTAAGTGAAACCATTCTACCAACCTGGAAATAGAAGCTCAGAGGAAGGCTGGTTGGTAGTATGAGTCTCTGAAGCAAGTCAGCTTTGGAACCTTCCCCCACTCTCTCAGGCACATTGCCAAGCTGCCAGCTAGAGACCTGAGCCTTGGGCAGAGCTCATTTCAGGCTGAGTCAAAATCATGAGGGAGCCTTGTTCACATGTGCCCAGCAATGGAAAAGCCCCAATGGAGATGCTTCAGGGGCTTTATCAGACACTTGAGAGATCTTTGCTCTTCTCTACTAGGGGAGAGAGCCCACCAACCTGGGAGTTAAACTCTTCACATGAACCAGCACTTTCAGCCTTTCCTCAACCTAATCTAGCACTGCTGTGGAGGGAAAATTTAGAATGAGTGAGCTAATGACTTTCTGGGATACCAAAGATCTTTGATATCTGATGAGTTTGGACACCCCTGTCTCCTTAACCTTTGGGTCCCTGACCACATTCCTGAGTGAGATCAGGAGTAAGGCAAAGGCCCTGAAAAGAGCCTGCCACTCCCTAGATTTTCAGACTTCATATTTTTCAGATGACTATATAAAAATAGGGAAAATTCACAGTGGATCCAGGTAAGTGGATTCATGTTCACGGTAGAGTGTCTCTGTGGGGCTCGGTCAGAGTACTCGCATGGGGGACCTAGGGGTAGGTACTAGGGGTAGGTACATATCTTAGGGTTAAGGATGCCAGATAAAATATATGAAGGCCAGTTAAATTGTACTTTCAGATAAATAATAAATAAATTTAGTATAAGCATGTCCCATGCAATATTTGAGGCATACTTATATTAAAATGTGTAATTTTTCTGACATTTAAGTTTAACTGGGTGTTCTGTATTTTTATTTATGAACTCTAACAACTCTACCTGGGGTGGGCATGATCCCAGGCATTTTCAGGGATTGTGTGGAAATGTTATGTGTGTACGTTTGCATGTAGGAGGCATGGGTACCAAAGAAAATAGGATGGGTATATGTGTTAAAAGTGTCTCTGTATCTTTGGAGGAAATAATATCTGGGTCAGAGGTCATTTCAGTGTTTTTGTTTTTTGAATGACTCTATAAATAATTTTTTATTTCTAAGCATTTCCTAAGAGCTTGGAGATCCTTGGAGAATTCCAAAGGCCCTCCTGAAACTTGAGCGGTTGACCTTCTAAATTAAATGATCCCGGGAGGACATTTGGAAGAATGAGCTAGCTAGGATTCGTAGAGTAGTATGTAGATATTTATCCCTTCGTTTTATCATTATTTAGAATTGTTCTCATCACACCCCTCTTCTCTTTGATGAGCCACTGAGGAGATAAAATATGAAGACAGAAGCTGTAGGAGCTTAGGTGTGGTTGGGGAAAAAATAAATCAACTCATAGAGGTTCCAGCACAAGAGAGAGGGGCATCCAGTGAGGGCTCTGTGGGTAGGGTGAGAACAGGCCTTGGGCTAAGGCTCAGGGAAATCTGGCAGCGGATGAGTCACTCATAGGGGCAGGCCTAGGAATGGAAGACTCCACACAGCTGGCTCTGGGCTGTGCAAAGGGCGTGGCAAGTGAGGCCTTTTAACTCCAGGCTAAATCCTGGAGGAGGAAGGGGAGGGTCAGCCAGCATTACAGGTTGCAACAAACTCCAAAGCATTGCCCAGAGCTCTTCGGTTGCCTTGGAATGGAGGTGTAAGCTCAACCGCCAGTCTGGGGTGTCTGGATCTTTTTGTTCAAGGCAGAGTTGCCCTGCTCGATGCTGGTCGTCAGAGGACCTGATCAGGGTTAAGCAATGTTAACTGCAGGGCAGGGGTGAGGAGGCAGTTTTCCAGCTCTGGCCAGCTCTCCCAGTTTGCCTGGGTGGGATGCACACTGGAACCAATTATTCCTGAGGCATCCAGGGCGAGCATCTGCCCCTCTCCTTGGCGACTTTCTCTGGGTATATGTTGGTCTCAGCTCTAATACCTGGGAACACACACCCTGTATGAGTGAGGGGCCACCTGGGCCAGGGGGAGGCTGTTCAGCCCCACCAGTGTCTCATTCTGCAGACCCAGAAAATATACCTGGCTGCAAATCCTGGAAAACTTGGGTTCAGTCAAGCTGGACACAACCTGTTAGTGTAAGCAGGAGGACAGGATTTCCGCTGGCTTCCTTGTGCCTCCGAGTTCCTGGCCAATGCAGGCACCAGTGTGGGCCCTATGCAGGAAAATGGGGAGAGCTTGCCAGAGTTGGAAACCTGGGACCAGCCTGCATCCTCTCCCCTGCCCTGCACTTAACACCGCTTAATCCTGGTCAAGTCCTCTGCCGACTGGTTCTCTGTAGACCCTGCCAAAACACTCCCTTTTCTTTGCCACATCTTTGACTCCCATTTAGCTGAGGGCCACAGACAAACTGATATACCCAATTGGCTTCAGTTTCTTCATCTGTGAAATGGGTGGCACTTCATCCATCCCCAGCTTCAAACTGGGACATCCCTTCTTTAAGCCTATGATGATGTAGATTAGATGTTGAGGTACGAAACTCTTTGTAAAGGCTCTAGGGGTTGCCCCTATCATTTCCATATTATTAAATTTGGAGATTTGTGATCTTGAGATATAACTGCTGGGAACGTCCAGGGTTTCTTGTACATCAAAATATTGATGGTGTGTTATTTCTGGTAGATCTTAAGTGTCTTCTCTGTCTTTTGTGCATGAGTATCATTATTTGTACAAGAAGAAATAAACATTACTTTTAATGGCTGTCTTGAGAGAGAGAAGTCCAGGCCATTTGCTAACGTCTTCCTAGAGGATGCTGGCAGGTAGGCAGTGATTTTTGTGTGGGAAGGCAGGGATTTGATTCCATGACCTTGGAAGGTCCTACCAGCATGTGAGTCTATGCTCAGTGCCCACAGCCGACTCATACCTATCTGCAGAAACATGCTGCCAGGAATCAGAGAAGGAGAGGACAGGGAAGGGAGAGTGGAGGAGGAGAGGGAACTGAGAGTAAAAGAGAAAACTGCACCGTCACGAAAGCTTGAAACTTCCCTTTCAACCTTTCCCTTATAATTAGTTGGTGTGGCTGGAGGGGAAGAGCTCTTGGTGAGTTGCAACTTGTTGGGCTCCAGTCCTCAGAATGTTTCAGGCTTGCTCAGTGTTTGGGGAAACTTAGTTCTCAAATGGTTCCTCCTCCCGCTCCATCTATATTTTTATTTTAATTCCCTGCCTGGAGGGGGTGATGTGAAAATTTGGAAACTTTCTAGTGTCCTGGCAGAGAAGTCTTCCCCCTGGGGCTAGCCTGGAAATTCTAGTGAGAACTCGATTGAAACAGGCTTTTCTCCACCAGTGTTTTGGGGGTCAACTCCACAAAGGTTCTGGTGGGAGGAGTGCAGAAGGAAGAATGGGGTCCAGGGTCCAGCAGGGGCAAGTGCAGTTTGGTTGTTTCCCCCAGGTAGGGAGCCTCTTGCGATCCCAGAATTGCCATGGGAGCTTCTGCTTCTTCTCCTCATTCCTGACACTGTGGCTATCAAGGGCAATTTCATGCCTGGGTCCCCAAGGCAGCATGCCTGCACAGCCTGCATTTGAATCCTGGTTCTCTGCTTATACCAGAGTAACCTGTAGACAGTTACTTAATTTCTTTGTGTCTCAGTTTTCTCACCTGTCAAGTGTGTCTAATGGTAACATACCTCTGAGAGAAGGTTGCTTATAATAGCCATTGTCACATGATCAGCATAGATATAAGCTTCTATTATGTCTGCTCTTGCAGGAGACCACATGGACACATCTGCCTTCTCACCCACCCAGTGCCCGGTCTCAGCAGGAAGGACTGAGATTTTGTGCAACTTCAAGAGAGACCTAGAGTCTAAACCACCAAGCTAAGACATTCCCAGAAACTGTGAGATAATACATGTTTATTTTTATTTTTAGCTACTGCTTCTTAAGGTAATTTGTTATGCAGCTATCTATGACTAATACAAGGCCCAAGTTCTGGAAGGCTGGGTTTTGCTCTGAGCTCTAGCTATGTCAAAGGAAGTGCTAGTCTGGCTTTGACTTTCTGAAATCTCTGTTCCATTCTAACAGGTTATCTGACCAGGCCTATAGTTGGGGACCCAACCATTCCAGAATGTTCCTCATTCCCAAGCCACTTCTCACAGAGAACAGAAATACTTTTCATCTATTATTCCCCTACTCTAAAATCATCAGTGGCTCCTTAATGCCCATAAATGCTTCTCTCAAGGCCAGAATCCTTAGTCTGGGACCCTCCTTCCCCTTCCTCATGTCACAGCCTGTCACAGCCCTCCAGCCTCACTTCTCCCTGCTCCTCAGGCTGGCCTTTCAAGCCTGCCTTGAACCAAGGTGTTCATTGCTGTTATATCTCTTCTTGATCTGCTTGCATGCGCTGCCCTCTCCTTGCCCACTGCAAATGAATGAACAAATACACACTGAGGATCTGCTAGGAACCAGGAGCCTATGTGCAGTGTCTTCATTTGCACAGCAGTAATTTTTACAGAGAAGAAAACTGAGGTTAGATAACCTGTCCAAAGTCCCAGGGGAAGTGAGTGATGAAGTCAGGCCTGTCTGTCAACCCTGTCGCTGGAAGTTCAGTGACTTTCCACTACATCGTATTGCATCTGACTCACATTTCTGTGGAATTTTACAGTTTATAAAGCCCCTGCTTATTATAATTTTTATTGAGCTTTACAACAACCCTGTGTGGTAGATGGAGCAAGAATTGCTTGCCCCATTTCACAGATGATAAACCTGACATGAGGAAGAGAATTTGTCCTCATGGGAACAAGTGTCAGAGGTGTGATTCCAACTTAAGATCTGTCTCCAGACCCACCATTCTTTCCTCCGCCTTCTCTTTGTACCTCTCCCTAAGCCTACCATTGATTTTTGCATATAATTGATGTCTAGTGCATTTTTGTTGGTTGATTGATTTTTTAATGTATTCTTTAGTAGATGGTACAAAAGGAGGTCTGATAGCTGGAGAATTATCTTTGATGACAGAGACTATCTTTAAAAAAGAACTTAAACAGGGGTAGCAGCAAGGTATGCGGGCAAGCTTCAGAAGGAACTTTCTGACGGAAAGGGCTGGTAGTAGCCATTGACCATTGAACAAGGAGGCTGTGGAATTGACTGTGCTGGGGAATCCCCAAGAGTAACCCACCCTGCCTTGTCCGAGGAAGTACTGTTTATTCTTAGGGGAGAGGGAAGGAAAAAATGAGCCACTGGGGACCCACGTAGCTCAGATCAACAGCCACAACTCTGGGATGTGGGTGTCATTGTTATCTAAGCTGCGGAAGCAGAGCCGAGGGGGAGGAAGACTGTGTCACTCTGTTGGTAATTTCTCTTCCCCAGTGCTCAGGACTTCAGCTGATGAAGAAATTGTTCTTCAAAGAGGTTCTTTGAGGTTAAAGTCATACAGATTCAGGCTCCCTGGGCTTATGAGAACTCACAGGTCATCCTGCCTGTTCTTAGAGATCCTAAAATACTCCTGTAAGCACTCAATCACTATCTGCTGAATGACTGAGTGAATGTTACATAAACTGATAGCTGTCTCTGAAGGGTTCTAATAATATCTTACCCTGACTTGGAAACCCATTCTAATTCCGATCGTCCTTTGTTGCTAAGGATTCATTTTGCCCTCTAACCCCAAGCCAACCAAATCCAGTGGACTGTTGTTCTGTGGACATAGTCCATGACTGGTCACCCCCAGACTGTGATCATCTTGACTTGGGTTCTTAGAGCAACTTTACATTCAGATATAGAACGTATTTGGAATGAGCCTACAAGGAGACTCAAGTACAGCACAGGAAGCAAGCTGGGTGCAGGGTGCCCTTCCCTGTGCACCGGGCTCTCAGTGGTGAAGCTGCCCTTTCAGAGTCTACCCTGGGGTATGTGCATGGATGAATGATGAGGGTGAGTGAGGCATTGTCCAGATCACAGCATGGAGTGGCAGTAAAGCCTCCATCTGGGAGCCAGGAGAAGTGGAGTGAATTTAGGATCTGCCACCCATGAGCTGGTGAGTAAGATCTTGATCAAGTTCTTCTTGCCCTGGGTCCTCACTGTGAATGAGAAGGTTGGAGTCCTTTATTCTGTCATCTACTTAACAACTGTTTCCTGAGCACCTATTACATGTCAGGCACTTTGATGATACAGCAGTGAACGAAATATAGTTTCTGCAGTCATGGTGCACGTGTAGAGGGGGAGGCAGGTGAAAACCAAATAAAGCAGCGAGCAAGTAGGTAACAATAGTCATATCAGATGAGATGAGGGTGATGGAGATACATACAGCAAGGTAAGTGGGAGCAAATGAAGGGGGTCTGGAAGATGTCTCCCATGTGGTGACATCTGAGCAGAGCCCTGAATGAGAAGAGGGGACAGGCTCTGTATGTATCTGGAGGAGTAGAAGCTCACAAAAGGAACGGTAAATGCAAAGGCCTTTAGAGGGAACCCATTTGGTGTTTTTAAGAAAGAGCAAGGAGGCCAGGTGGGGACAGAGGGCAGAGAAGTAGCCAGGGTCCAGCCCTGATTGTAGGCTGAGTGACTGGGGAAGCCATTGGAGCACGGAGAGGAGGGACAGGCATGGTCTGACTTGTGTGTTAAAAGGCTAAGTCAATCCCAAGTTATATGGAATTGGGCTTCTTCCAGCCCCAGGCTAAGCGGATCTGGCTGGGTAAGGTAGGGGGTGGGACAGTCCCAAAGCCAGGTCCTGCCCTAGAGGCAGACTTTGTGAGCGGTGCCAGCACAGATGATGGGACCTGCCTGCTCATGTCTCATCCTGCCGCTGCACTCAAGCCTCAACTCAGCCCTCGCTGGCGTGAGGAGCACAGGGCTCACTAACAATGCAACCTGCACCCCCAAACCGAAGGCCACAGCAGCTGCTAGGCTGCAGCGTGGAAGACTAACTTAGGGGTTATGAGAAGCTCTTTTCTCATTAGGAAAGTCTTTCCTCTTTTCTTGCCTCTTCCCTCTAACTTCTCCAGTTTCTATCTTTATTTATTCTTTGGTTTAATTCCTTTTTCTTCCTTGTCTATCCATCCCTCAAGCATTGCATAGCATCTCCTAGAAGCCAGAAGCTCATCAAGCAGAAGCTTATAAGTTGGGTTCCCTGGCCTATAGAAAAGCTATTACACTGGACTTGTGTCTTCCAACTAGAGAGATGTAGAGTCTGTATGAGAAGCCAGGGAGTATGACTAGAGTCCTGCTGGGACATCTCCATTATATTGTCTCCTAGGAGGCCCCAGAAAATCACATGCTATGATAAGACGAAAGATGCACGTTCACCCAAGGCTTTCTGGGAATAGAGAAGGGAGCACCGGCCCTGCTGCACAGGTGGGAGGGCTCTCAGGGGAGTCTACCTGGAGGAGGGGGTATTTGAAATAGGTTTTGGAAGATGAGTGAGATTTTTTAAAATTTTATTTTTCAATTACTATTGACATTCAATGTTATTTTATATTATTTTCAGGTGTACAGCATATATTTTACAAAGTGATCCCTCCCACTGATATTTTCAGTATACCTGGCCCCATACATAGTTGTTACAATATTATTGACTATATTCCCTATGCTGTACTTTTACATCTTCATGATTACTTTGTCACTGCCAATTTGTACCTCTCAATCCCTTCACCTTTTTCACTCAGCCCCCCAAGCCCTCTCCCCTCTGGCAACCATCAGTTCTCTGCATCTATGAGTCTGTTTCTATTTTGTTTGTTCACTTATTTTGTTCTTTAGCAGCCACTATGGAAAACAGTATGGTGGTCACTCAAAAAATTAAAGATGGAACTGCCTTATGACCCAGTGATTCCATTCCTGGGTATATATCTGAAGAAATCCAAGACACTAATTTGAAAGGATATATGCACCCCTATGTTCATTGCAGCATTACTTACAATAGCCAAGCTATGGAAGCAGCCCAAGTGCCCATCAATAGATGAGTGGATAAAAAAAGCAGCAGTACATATATGCAATGGAGTATTGCTTGGCCGTGAAAAAGAATGAAATCTTAACCATTTGCAACAGCATGGATAGACCTAGAGGGTATTGTGCTCAGTGAAATAAGTCAGTAAGAGAAAGACAAGTATCAGAGGATTTCACTGATATGTGGAATCTAAAGATGAGTGGGATTTTTCCTGGCAGAGAAGAGATGTGAGAGTGGGGGATGGAGGACTGTGAGGAAGGGCTGATAGCTAGAGGGCTGGGAACATCCGTGGCATATTTTGGGGAAGCAATCAGTTAATTATCTAGATTAAATACTAAAAGGGATTACCTCAATGGAAAAATCAGATGTGATGGTTGTTTGACCCAATCCTATAGTTTTTGTTTAATTTTTACGTAACTGTCACTAAGTAAACAGAATAAGTACAGATAATTTTCAGGTAATAAATGAGGTTAAATATTTATATTATGTTAAGGTCAAAGGGTAAATAAGATGTGGGGGGAGACGGAAGGAGAAGGTTGGGGTCAGGGTTGGGAATTTCCTGTTTAGACAGAATGGTGTCTGATCAGTCTGTTGGTGACGTTCGATCCTGAGAAGAAAAGAAAGATTGTGAAACCTGGTTGAAAGGATCCAAAACCCTCCACTCCACTGGAAAACTACCTCCCAAGCCTCCTACCCCCTTTTCCTAGAAATGGTTCATTGCCAAGAGTATTAAATGAAGAAGGGATTTAAAGGGAAGAAATTTTGATTCATAATAATACCTGGTATTTATGCCACACCTTTCTCCCAAGATGCTCAGATCATTGTAGGGGAATTATATCATTCATTCCTCACAGCCTCATCCCTGCCTCCCTTGCCCCTAAACCCACCCAGCCTGGAGAGAAAGAGGTAGCCCTGGGCACAGCTTCAAGGGCCCACAGAGAGCGCCAGTGGGATCCGCCTGGATGTTT